AAGGAAGAACTTGGTGTCAAAGACGGGCTATATACTGTTGGAAGAGACTATAATTCTAGCCTTGTTGCACAACATGCCTGATATTTGTAAAATAAAATCTATTTGCAACACACAACACACTCCAGCTGGGATAAGCACACAGTTGGAAGGATATATGTGATAACTGTTATCCGTCCTCGTGATAACTATCAAAACGAAGAGACCTTGTTGCCATGTTAATTTCCTACAAGGCCACAAGAAAGATTAGCATAAATGTATTTACTGTTAAAGGAAATTTTGGAAAATTGATGGCAAGCGATATGTAGGAGTCAGACAGTAGAGATCCAGAAAAGTAATAGTAAATATTTCTAGATATGGGATACCTGACACAGTCATCAGTGAGAACTGAACAGTTTATCTATCCACAAAGCAAAGGGAAAATACAGCCAGCATCAAAACAGCAAAGTGGTTGCTAAATAAATCTGTAATCTCAGAGTCTAATCCTTATTTATTTCTCTTGGCACTCTGAAAGATTCCATTACAGAATCTTCTGTATAACCACAAAAATCTATAGGTGTGGACTGAAACAAAAATAATAGCTGCCAAATCATATGGGATGACTACTCTGGCAGCCAATGAACTCTGTTATAATCCTAGACACCTACAATCTCAACAGCAGTAAGAAGAGCTACAGCATGATATGTGATAGGAACTATGAGGAAAAAAATAACACTGGAGTTACAAGGAATAGAAAAAAGCCAAGAGTATTACAACATAAAATAGGTCAATTAAACATGTTTGGATCCAGACAACTTTTATCGTTCATGTATTTAGTCCATGTTAGGTGTGACTTCATCAAGAGTATCTCCTAGCGATTTATGACCCTATATGAGAAGAGATTATAAAGTGTACTGGTTGTAAATATTATCAGAAATCGAGTTTCAGTTTCTACAAATCTATTTTCAACAAGAAGAATAATATATCATGATTAATAACGCAAGTGATCTACTTGCACAGATTCATGATTCGAAGGAAATAGGCAGTTCTAGAATAACATGTCTTCCTCTAAAACATTTAGCTTGGAGTAATCTAGGATGAGCAAGGACAGAATTAAATGCTTTATTACTATTAGCTAAAGACTACAAGTGTCTTAGGTTAAAGAAACAATGTGTAGTAGCAGAAAGCAATTCATCATTAAATAAGCCCAAAACTACCACCAAAAGAAATCAGAAAGAAATTCTCAAGCACCATGTGAGTAAGGTAGGAAAACAGGAGTCCTTTTTAAAAGAAAAGGATGTATTTCAACCCAGTATTATTACTGAAAAGCTAAATACAAAGAAAAGAGGTTTATTAATTTTATTAACTGTCAAAAATAAGTAAGGTAAAAAGACATGGGCATACACTTCTCTAAATTTTACAGCAATATGGCAACAAATATAAACAAAAAGTTCAGAAAACATTTATTATGATTTGATAACAATTCTAATCACAATACCTTGTACTGGTTGTGAAATAGAATATTTAAATAGCAAGATTTACCAATAAAACTAAAAAATGTAGCAACAAATTTTAATTTGTTTTTCTACATTTTTTTGTAGCTAAAAGGCGACAAAATGATCTTCATGCTAAAGTATATTGGATGACTTCAGAGCAAGGAGAATGGGATTGAGGACAGGAGTAACAACTAGAAATATAATACTTTATATTACATATTTTCCTTTAGTAAGGGGGAATTCATTCTGCAAATTAAATGTATAAATATAAGTTTAGCACTTTTGCAAAAAGGTACAAATATTTTTAACACAACCAAATCATTAATATGTATAGTTAGTTCTTTTATTGAAAAAAAATCTATTAATGTCTATTAATTAAAACAAATTAACATTAAGACTGCTATTTCACAGCACAAGGTCATCTATAACCTTAAAAAAGATCAATTACTCTTTTTGCCCCTTCTTCCAAGAAATGTATCATTGTTTCAAAAGAAATCACACTTCCGCACAGGAAACTCCAGGTGTATTTGATCTACAACTGGGTGGAAGTTAAAAATTAATTACTCTCCCAACATATTGATTACATGGCTATAAACATAAAAGCTAGAGCCCAGAACAATGTACACTGACCCTCTGTTGAAACAGCATGCTTGTTTTCAAAAGGAAACCAATTACGTGTTCAAAAACGGGTTACTTCAGAACTGAAGCTGAAATAAAATCAACAGTGCCATCTAGAGTTACCTCTAAATTCCTCCTTATATAAAGGGCATCTAACTATAGATCAACTCCACATTCCACACAGCTCTTCCACACAACTGATATTTAATGTGCAACTATATCTAATAGGAAAAGATTTAGACAATGGGCATACCTGACTGGAATTAGATTTTAAATCCAGTTACATTAAATAGCGCTTAAAAAGAAGTGTCAGTGAAATCTATAAACCTAGTGCAAAAATAAGAGAGAGATTCTAGACGTGTGCATCTGGCTCGTCCCCAGAGTAATATTTAGGATTCTTTTTGCAACAGCAGGTTCCAATCCTATGCTTGTTATGAACAACTAGTTTTTGTTTTTAATAGCATATGAGTTTCCCATGAATGTGGATAGACAAACGAACATTCTTATTAACCCACCAGGCATGTAAAAACTGCAACAATTATTACCAGTTTACATCAGAAGGCAAACAACTAAAGCTATACCAATTCTTCTGAATAATGAAAAAAAACAGGAGGAATAGGTCTAAAATGTAATAAATCTTGTCCTTCTTTTTCCCTGTTACTGCTTTCATATGAATCCCTATAACATTCCCCAAGGCATATCAGAAGCACTTAACAAATACACGATTTTAACAATACTCTAAACAATAAAAATTGATTAGAGATCAATTCAACTCAGAGCACATAATAATCCTTCATGACTTCCCACATGCATAAGTTTCCAAAAGAAATGCCAATAGAACTTCCTCCAAGCTCCAACCCAGGACTATTAAACTTGTCCAGTTCTACAAACTTCACTTCTTAAAGAAAATGGGATACTCTCACTCCCATTTATCTCTAAAGTATTACCCAATTTAGAGTTACTCCATAAACTGCAATATATCTCCTATACCTTGGTGAATGGAATTACATCCTCGCACTCAGACATATCTAGGACAGTTAGGTAGAGCACTGCATTAACCAATTAACTTGTTCTCTCCATGGGTTAGTCTTCTTGCCTTAGATCTCCCCTGGCAACACACAATTGCTTGATAGGTCACCTTGGTTGTGTAGCCTCTCAGAATACTTAAAATGCTCTTCCCTTTCATTCCCAAAGGAGTACTTTGTACACCTGGCAGAAGCAGCCATTCCTATTTTGGCATCTTGAAAGGCCTGTTGGTTTGTGGTCCAGGAATGAACAGAGAGATACCCTTGAGCCCATCAAGGTTCCTAGCATTTCTGTCTACCACTCTCTGGCAAGAAAAAAGTAGCACAAATGGCAATATCAAGACCTTTATTTAACAATTTGTATCCCTCAATAGGAGGAAAGCAGAGATTTGGTACCAACCAGTAATTTCAACAGGGGTATTAGACTGCTAATCCATAGAAAGCAGAGTAGCAGGTGTTGTATCTCTTGTGGCACAAACATCCTGCTCAGAACACTGTTAGTTATTTGCTATGGAGCTTGAAGGCATATAAGAATCTGCCTTTCTACTTCAAGGGAGAAACAATCAGAACCATTACAGGGTGGGCGACATTCCTATACTTCATAATCTAAGCCAAAAGAGCCTTGTGCCATGCTTCCTATTAACTAATTCATGGTCTCCTTGTAAAAAGCTTATATACTTGTGATAGTGTGCTATGATTTAAAGCACTGAGTGGCATGTTATCCTATGTCCCACAGTAGCCATTAACTCAGCTATATATAAAAAACCTAAAAGAAGTGCAGAGGCTACATGTAGCCCCCAAGGGTTTCATGGAAAATTTGCTTGCCACCAAATTGTGATTTTTGATAGAATAGAAAGAAGGAATCATTAAATTCATGGTTGGTGATATTAACAGTATTAATTATTTCATTACTGCCTAATGACAGCCCTGTTTAAACAAATAGCACACCCCTAAAGTAAACAGAAAAAAAGTTATTTGAGCCACGTCTATAGATGGGAATATGAATTGTACCCTTCACCACTGGCTATGCTAGTTTAAGCTTCTTAGAGTTGTTTCAGCACCATGTAGGAAGGAGCAGGGTCTATGGCACTGCAGAATCCATACCTAATCCCCTTCCAGCATGGGCATGTCCTCTGTCAGTACTATCAAGAGGCAACTTAAGTGTGCCCTATTTATTTCGTCCATTTCTAAGATAAACTACCAACTTATTTCACACAGTAGTGACTTCTCTCTTGAATTCTATGAACCCAACTGGCCTTTTGCCAAGCCCTCATTTTCTGTATCTTAATCTTGATACATGTGATTACCAATTCAAAATTCAATTATTCATTTAAATCCATTGAAATAGGTTTACTTTTATTACATCCTCATCAATAGGTACACACTTTTACTTGACAACTCCCGTGAATTCACTAGACCTATTATGCTAAGTACCCGCAAGCACTCCTGATATGAGGAAATTGACGTTTCTGAAACAACTAAACACAATACTTCAAGAGAGGGTGGACTCTCCGTTGCTGGAAGTTGGTAAAGAGAATCCGGCTTCCGAGCCAGGTTGCTAGGCTGGTCGTGGACACCTCCCCGCATGTTGGCTTGGCACCACGTGTAAACGAGAGGCTTACCAGGTATCCTGCTAAATATTTACAAAACGAACAAATTACTGTGATTGTAATTTGAAAACTCCCCCTGACAAACAAACAAGGCATAAGGGTTGAAGGGAGAATCTCGTAATCCTAATGAACAAAACCCAGGAAAATGAAAAGCTCTGTAGATGTTGTACACGCCCACATCCACCCCGCAGTCCCGGAACACCGTCTGCGCATGCCCTTCCGCTCCAGCTCTCCTGCCACCGCGCGCGCATGGGCGCTCGTGCTCCCTCCCTCCCCCCGCCTTGCCTCGAGGCCGCGCCCCGAGTCCGGGCCCCGCCCTTCCTGCTTGAGTGAGGGGCGGAGACCGGTGGCTGGGCCTTGGCTGCTGCTGCTGCTGCTGCTCTTCCTCCTCCTGTTAACGATTCGCGGGTCTCCGGGGCTTCTTTTTTTTCCTCGTGGGCAGACCGGAGAGGAGCTAAGATGGCGGATCTGGAGGACCAGCTCTCCGATGAGGAGAAGGTAAGAAGGCCCTCGCCGCAGAAAGAGAGGAGTCGTGTGGGGAGAGGGGGGAAGGAGGAGGAGGAGGAGGAGGAAGCGGTGGCGGCTCCTTCCCCCCTCCTGGGGACGAGGAAGGAAGAAAAGGAAGCAAGCGGGGTGTGGAGCAGGGTCGAGCCCTCAGCCCGGCTCTGCCAGCCCAGGCAAGCGGGGAAGGAGGCTTGTTTCCTTCTGTCCGAGGCCTGCTTTGCTCGCCGCCCCCTCCGCTCCTTGTACGGTCCGATGGCTGAAAATAGGCTCCAGGCGCCGGGCTGGGGCTGAAGTAAAGCGGGCGCGGCGGATCCGGTGTCTCCACCTCGCCTTTCGCTGGGTCTGTCTTTCCTCTTAAAGCCGCGGGAAGCCCAGCTGACGGAAAGGGGTTCCTCCCTGTTAACCCCTCTCTCCGTTGGCCTCTGGGGCTGGTCCCGCCGCCTCCCTTGTCGCTGGAACGATGTAGGACAATTTATTGGTGGACAGCATAGGCTTCGATTGATTTAATGGTGGCCCGTAATCTATTCACGTGGCATGAAGTGATTTCCAAAGGGTGGCTCTGGTGGACTTTTTTCCCCGCCCCTGACTTCTCTGCCCTTGACTCAGATGGTCGTTTCGAGGTATTATTTTGCAGATCTGATTGTATGTTCTAATGTTTTACTGGGGGGGGGGGGGGGGGGGGCCC